AGGAGGAGGAGGAGGAGGAGGAGGAGGAGGAGGAGGAGGAGGAGGAGGAGGAGGAGGAGGAGGAGGAGGAGGAGGAGGAGGAGGAGGAGGAGGAGGAGGAGGAGGAGGAGGAGAGAGGCGGAGGAGGAGGAGGGAAGAGGGAAGAGGAAGAGGAGGAAAGAAGAAGGAGGAGAAGGAGAAGGAGGAGGAGTAGGAGGAGGAGGAGGAGGGACGGAGGATTAGCGGGGGTTTGTAATCTTTCTCAAATTTCCAATTATTTCTCGTTAGTGTAATCCAACCTCTATCTCGGGCTACTTGACTTGCATTTATAAATACTTTCGTCACGTGGAAAATATTCGGCCGGATTGATCGGATGTCTTGGCCACGCCCCCTTTGCTTCTTCTTCTCTCTCTCTCTCTCCCATTTCTTATTCTTCTTCGTCTTCTGCTTCTTCTTTTTTTATATATTATTCATTACTCTGATGTTTTTTTTTTCTCTCTCTCCTCTGTCTTCTTTTTCTTCTTTTGTTCCTTCTTCTCCTTCTTCTTCTTTTTCTTTTTCTTCTTATTCTCCTTCTTCTTCTCTCTGGCCTCTACTTATTTTTCGTCTTCTCCTCCTTCATCTTCTTCTTCTTCTTCTTCTTCTTCTACCTTCTTCTTCTTACTCTCTTTTTTTCCTTCTTTTTCTTTTCTCTCCTCTTCTTTTTTTCCCATGCCTCCTCCCACTGTTCTTCTGCCTCTCCTTCTCCCTTTTCTTCCTTTTTTCCTCTCTCTATTTCTCTTCTTCTAACCTTTATCTTTATTAATTCTTTCTTCTTCTTTCTTCTTCTCTTCCTCCCGTTTCTCCTCTTCTCCATTCGTTATTCCCCTTTTCTCTTTTCCTTGCCTTGTCCCTTTTCTCTTTCTCTTTCTCTTTATCTTTCGATTTTCTCAATTCCTGTGTTCTTCTGCACCTGTTTGGTATGATATAAGTATAATATAATTCTTAAAAAAATGTATATATATACATATATATATTTCTTGATTCCCTTTAAAAAATAATTTTCCTTTTATCTCTCCGTTCCATGTCTCTTCTTCTTATCTTTTGATTTTTTTTAAACCCTCTCCCTTCCTTTGGTTATCTTTATTTGCCTTCTTCCTTCTTTCGTGTTTCTATATGCCCTCCTTTCTTATACTTTACCATCTTGCATTCATTCTTCTATCCTCTTTTCTTCCTTTCCTCCTTTCCTCTCTTTTATTCCTCCATTCTTTCCTTCCTTTTCTTTATTTCTACCCTCCTTCCTCTTCCTCATTTCCTACTTCCATTCTTCATCACCCCTTCCTTCTTCCCTCTTTTCCTTTCTTCCTTCTCCCATCCTTTCATCCTTCCTCCTACTTCACACCTCTCCTTCTTGTCTTCCTCCATCCTTCCTCCCTCTCTTTCTTCAACCATGATTTCCTCCTTCCTCCTACCTCCTACCCTTCCTTCCTTCCTTCCTTCCTCCTCCTCCTTCTCCCTTCCTTCCTCCCTCCCTTCCTAAAACCCATCCTCCCACTCTTTCTTCCTTCTCTCTTCCTATCTCCCATCCTCCCTCCCATCCTCCCTCCTACTTCCCATCCTCCCTTCTTCGTTCCCTTCCTAAGACCCGTCTTCCCCCTCTCTCTTCCTTCTCTCTTCTTGCCTCCTCCTCCATCTTCCATCCTTTCTCCTTTTCCCACCCTTCCTTCCTTCTTCCTCCTCCTTCTCCTTCCTCCCTCGCTCTTCCTTCTTCTCCCTTCCTCCCTCCCTCCTCCTCCTTCGCCAGTCATTCCTTCCTTCCTCTTCCTTCTCCCTTCCTTCCTTCCTCCTTCCTCCTCCTCCTCCTTCTCCCTTCCTCCTTCCTATTCCTTCTCCCTTCCTTCATTCTCCCTCCTCCTCCTCCTCCTCCTTCGCCAATCATTCCTTCCTTCCTCTTCCTTCCTCCCTCCTCCCTTCTCCCTTCCTTCCTTCCCCCCACCTCCTCCTCCTCCCTCTTCCTCCTCCCTTCCTTCCTTTCTCCCTCTTCCTTCTCCCTCCTCCTCCTCCTCCTTCGCCAGTCATACCTTCCTCTCTCCTCCTCCTTCTCCCTTCCTTCCTTCCTCCCTCTTCCTTCTCCCTCCTCCTCCTTCTCCCTTCCTTCCTCCCTCTTCCTTCTCCCTCCTCCTCCTCCTCCTCCTTCTCCTCCTTCTCCCTTCCTTCCTCCCTCTTCCTTCTCCCTCCTCCTCCTCCTCCTTCGCCAGTCATTCCTTCCTTCCTTCCTTCCTCCTTCCTCCTCCTCCTCCTCCTCCTCCTTCTCCTCCTTCTCCCTTCCTTCCTCCCTCTTCCTTCTCCCTCCTCCTCCTCCTCCTTCGCCAGTCATACCTTCCTTCCTCCCTCCTCTCTTCTCCCTTCCTTCCTTCCTCCCTCTTCCTTCTCCCTCCTCCTCCTTCTCCTCCTTCTCCCTTCCTTCCTCCCTCTTCCTTCTCCCTCCTTCTCCTCCTTCTCCCTTCCTTCCTTCCTCCCTCTTCCTTCTCCCTCCTCCTCC